ATTGGTGTTTGAAACTACGGCAGGGCGGCGGGAGTGTTAACCCATCCCGGACGAAGCGACCCTGCATTAATCCCAAACACACCAATCCACAACTGAGATAGGGACCAGAGAACGACAAGTATAACACAGTATTTACACGCGAGTCGCTCTAGTCGACTCCCATTCGTAATTATAGACTAAAAGGGAAGAAAGCACGAGTGTCGAGAATCAAAGTAGGGAGTGCAATAAATAGGAGGGGCCCGAAAGCAAAGAAAACGCGACATTATGCTCCAGTTGCAAGCATAAAGAGCATATTAACCTGTTCATATGAAAGCGGACGAGAACGTACACTCTATTTAATAGAGGATTGTTCCCGGCCTAAGGATAGGGGTACAAGTCGACGACCTGATTTGCAAAACCAACACCCTTTAGGGCGTGAATATCTTTGGTGTTTGAGACCGAAAACGAGACGTGGTTCACGTCAGAATATGCGCCAACTTTTGAGGTTTAAATGATGAAGTATTGGTAGAACTAACAATGCGAAGAGCATTAGTTGCACCCGTCACCAAGGATGGAGCTATGCCTAAAACGGGCATTGTCAGAGCTTTGGAGCAGCAAGCATTAGCGGAAACAACTACACGCCTTCTGCGTCGGCAGCGGCATCGTCGCGACGGGGAGGGCATGGCAGACGGCGACGCAGCCACTGATGCTTCAGTGCTTGAGCTGGGGTCATTCGCGTTTCCGGATCCCAGTCAAGACATCGCTTCATAAAGTCGATGAAGAGCTCGTCGCCCTGAAAGAAAAAGTTGCATAGCACAGTCGAATATGTGTGTTCTCCACTTTATAATTCTCCTTAAAAATGCTATCAGAAGCTATACAAAACAGAACGAAACTAACAATTCATGCTTTATTCCATGAAAGGATAAGATCGATGATAACGGTCAAACGCATTACAGACCTTCAAATGTAAGTTTCGAGGCAGTTTTTATGAAAAGTATGTATCTACTCAAAATTCTAACGATTATGTCTTCTCCTGAGCCAAAAGTACTATCAACATGCGAAAAACTCTCAAAAAGGAAATGCGACATAGGTTAATTTTTGTATGAAATTTTTACCGATGATTATCTGTAAGAAAATTGTTCAGTTATAGCTGTAAATCAGCTCTGTCCTGCCTGAAACATGTACATGCACCCAGAAAAATCAAATCAAAAAACTGAATATTCCAAATGATAATCCCTCATTATGGTGCATAACAGCGGATATTGGGCTTACTACTAGGTTTAGTTCTGAGGCTAAGAGTTGGATTTCCATATAGTCCCAATTGAAGTGCTGTAAAAACCTTAAAACGGCATTATGTCGCTACACTTAAAGCAACAACAAACACTGGTGGATAAATGACGCTACCACTTCAAATGTGACACTGAAATTTCGGAGAGAATTAATACATGCAGATTCCGCACTTTAAAAAATTCGCTAGATGACTTCGCCTTCGGCAAAAATAGGAGATATGTTCTTTATTTGTAAGGAAGTTTGAGAACAACGGAAACAAACCTCCGATGCAAAAAATTAGCGACTAACCAATGATCTGGAATGGGAAAAAATGGAGTTAAGTTAAATCATATTTTCGCATGCCAAACTTTCAAATACAGCAACTTTGAATGAAGATAATCTGAAGAAGAACTTGCAGCGCTAAAAATGACACAATGCATTTTGGAATACGTCATCGGTTGCTGGAATCATTGATACATATTCTTGAAAGCCTATGAGACGAAAAAATAACTCTTATTCATCACCTCTTACTTAATTTAGCCGAATGTAACGATTTTAAGGCTCAGAAAAAAATTTAGACTGGAAAAAAATTCTGAAAACGACGGGTTGATGATGAATAAAAGATACTGCGTAACTTTCAGTAAAGTAAGCCTACAAAGCACTGCGTTTTGTTAAACTTTGCGAGTTCACATGGATCATCAGCGTTCTCAAAATCTTCCGCAAAAAAATGGATGAGGCATTCGACTGCCAACCAGCAAAGAAACAACATGTTTTGCTTCACAGAAAGATGTCGTTAGCATGCTGACCATAGGAATCACAACGAGAAGGGGAAAACATGACTTACGAATACTAGCCTGATCTGGACAAATGAAGAATTACTATCAAAACATTGAAAGATAACTAAGACCTAAAACTAATGAGCATTCTTTGTTCAAAAAATTACTGTTATATTGACGTTGCTGGGACACTCCTTCACATAACCAGATAAAACAATTTAAAAAGGAAAAATGGTTGAATTTGAGTAAATCGAATGGCTGATAGAAACAAACATGCTATAAAATTTGATGCTGCTTACATTCTCTTAGTTCCGGAGGAGAAAAGAATGTTGATAAGCAAGAGAAACTATTGAACCGAAATTCTTGCAACAACTTTCTGCATTTTCTAAAACTTATTAATTTGGAGACAAAAGTCATTACCAGCATGTGGTAGATGGTTCTCGAAGCTTTCGACATGTATGGATACTATAATCAGTAGTACTAAAGAACATTTGACGAAATGAATAGCCAATCTGCATTCGGACCCATTATCTACAACGGACATCATCAAGGAGTTTCTCGGCGACTTGTCAATTCAATCGAGTGCTCGGTCCTCTACGTGAAACAAACAGTCATCCATGTGAGGAAGCGCCCCGAAGGAGCCAAATGCCGCTTTCTATGAGAAGAAACTAATGCTGGTGGGACTATCAAGGCATACTCCACGAATTCTCCGATATGGGCTCCACTGTAGCGGTCGAGGTCTATGTTTCATGGCTCCAAAGGTTGCGAAAGCGCTGATCATTCCAGAACTAAGGTAGTTTGCCCTTCACGAAATGCAGCGTCCAAAAACTACAAAGCAGATCGCCAGAAAATTCGGCAACCAGGCTGTGAGGTCTTCTTTCACCCAGCGTATTTCCAGGCTACCATTGTTCACGACCCCCAAAGACTTTCTGATACGAAAAATGAATATCAACTTTCAAAAACGAGGTCGTTCCCTTTTTCGACGCGCAGTTGGTCGCAGAAGAATATGCAAAAGCTTTCTATGCGCGTGCATTGGGCATCGGCGGTGAATACATAATTGATAGAGATTTGTAAAAAGGTAGACTTATTGCAAGCTTTTGCTCCAAATTAGAACATCTTATGTAGCACTGTCATAGGAATCAAAACTTTTGCAAAAAAGACCTACCATATTCTTGAGCGCTGTATTCCAACTTCGACTGCCTGGTGGGCCACGCATTTTCCCTCGTTTGCTTCGGGCTCCACTTAACACCACGGAGCCATCCGGCATGACGGATGCGGTGCAATAGCGAGGATATCCCTGGAATACATTGCTGAATACAGACGACCAAATAAAATACAAAGTCCCAAAAGAAAGAGAATGCTCACTTTGGACGAAATAAACGTGCGGGCCCTTTTGGCGTTTTCTAAAACCTTGTTCGGTGGCATTCCTAGCAACTCAATAATTAAGGCAAGCTAAAAAAAGGCCAATATCTTCAATATATCTTGTAAGTTAGCAAAAAAAAGGAATTAATTACGGAAAAAAATGAGGCCAACCTGATCATTCTCGTCCTCACCAGGGAGGAGCGGATAGCCAGTGAGAAGCTCGGCTAGAATACAGCCGAGGGACCACATATCGATCGGCATACCATACTTAGAGCCAAGGATTACTAGAAAGCAGACGATGATGTGTTATGATTATGGAAAAATCGAGAATCAAAAGAACACCAGTAGGTCAAAGCTACCTTCTGGAGCTCTGTAAAACCGAGACTGGATGTAGGTGTAGATGCGCTGGTCGTCGAAACAAGAGGAACCAAAGTCAATGACCTGTGATAAGATTTTTCAATTATGCTACGAGCAACAGCTATTAGTTACAAATTCAAACGTGTTACAATTT